GCTGGAAAATGTTCTTCTTAGCAAAGTATCTCAAGAATGGAAGAAAAAGTATCCAATGTACACAGCCCTATTTTGAAACTAATTCATAGCTTTCATAATAAAGCTATAACCTAATTATAGCCTTAGAATATAGGGGGGGAGGGAGAGGAGAGGGGAAGGGGGTGGATGGGTGGAGGGTGATTGATGGGGTCACCTCCATGGTTTATCTTACAAGGGTACAAGTGAATCATTCTAAAAGCAGAGTATGAATGTCTTAACTCAATAATTAAGACAATGACATGAAAGCAACATTAACCAGTTTGATGAGAGTGTTTCAAATTGTATATGAAAACACCACACTGTACCCTGTGATTGCATTAATGTATACAGCTATGATTTAATAAAAAAAAGAAAAAAAGATTAACAAAGATATTATTCAGCCACGTTTTTTCTATGTCAGATTAATATGAGGGTACAATCAGGTTACACTGTTTGCATTTGTTAGGTCAAGTTTCCGTTGTAACTGTGTCCCACACCCAGGAGATGTGCCTTAAACCTTTGTATCGTGCCCATTAAGTGGGAGCACACTGATCCCCTTCCTGCCTCCCCCCAACTTGAATTAAATTGAGTTTTTCTCTTGTGTGGGCGTGTATTAGTTCATCTACTGTCTTCGTATTAGTATTGAGTATATTGGATACCGCTTTTCCAGATTCAGCCACATTTTACTGACATGATTATCTATCACAAAGAATTAAAAATAAGTCATAATTCTAACTTTCAGGATTACACTTTCAAAACATTCACATACGCGCTTTTGGAGCTTGAAGAATTCTTATTTTCTGGCACAAAAGACACTTCTAAGACAAATGATACAAAAGTATGAGACTTACTCGCTTTTTTATGTAGTAACTTGTGAGTAGCCCAACTTCCTTTAAAACATTCCTGAAAGAACAAAAGAGAACGAATGTCAGCCTTTCCTTAATTAGAAACATTTAAAAAAATATACATAAGAAATAGTTACTGGAAAATTTATTTGCAAAAACCAAAATCTGTAACTGCAAATTAAGTATTTCAGAAAAACTTAAAATGACGCCTATTCAAAATTTGACTTCAGAAAGTCATTAATCTATACTTCACTTCAAATAACAAGGAAGTATACAGTTGAAAAGTCACAGTTATATTTCAATTTTATGTAATCAAATTACATTTAAATATTTGAAAAGAATCATTAGCCAATTAATCAATCATATACTGGAAAAAAAAATCACAGAGAACATTTTGGTAGGTTCTCCCATTGTTTATGGTACTGAGAATCCCAATCAGTCAAACACACCCTAAAACCATCCATCTGAGCAGTTGCTTCGTTTCCCATATGCTGATAGCCCTAAGGCTGTAAACCGTAGGAGGGAAGGGAGTGCCTGGCACATGGTAGGGTTTCAGTAACTGCTTGACTGACTGATCAGAATTACTGATGGAGGAATTACTAAGAAGACAACTCTTCATTTAAGAAAACACGTTCATGGGGTGGCATCTGTGGCTCAGTAGGTAGCACGCCAGCCAGCCCCATATACTGAGGGTGGCGGGTTCAAACCCGGCCCCAGCCAGCTAAAACAACAATGGCAATTGCAACATAGCCAGGCATTGTGACAGGTGCCTGTAGTCACAGCTACTTGGGAGGCTGAGGCAAAAGAATCGCTTAAGCCCATGATTTGGAGGTTGCCGTGAGCTGTGATACCAGCACACAGTGCAACAAAATGAGACTCTGTCTCTAAAAAAAAGAAAAGAAAGTATGTTCATGTAACGTATTTCAGACACTAGTAAGAAGTAACAAACTGGGAAAATGAATTCAAGTAATAGACTAAAGTCAAGTAAAAAACTCAAGTAATAAATTAGAAAAATAATTCAACTGTACATAGATCTTATTTATGCTTTGATTTTTATGGTCTTTTCTTCAAAGAGTTCCAAGTTACTGAAATAAATCATTTAAAAAACTTAAGAAAATCCATAAATTACTATAAATGTTTTATGTTTACAGACATAAAAAAAGACATGGACAAGAGAAAAGCTAAGAAAAAATGCAGGAAAAATATTCCTAGAATTATGCAGTAACCAAACCACATTATACCAGTGTCAGTAAAGCTGTCTTCTCTAAATTTGCCCAGGGCCTGGGAAGGGTCAGTTTCTCTCTGCTGGGCCAGGTTCTTCACTACTTTCCCTTTACCCTCCTTACAACCTCCCTAACCTGCAATAGTTAAGTCAAGAAAATCCAGGTCATACCTATTCATTTCTACTACAATTTACAACCTGAAGATACCTCAAATGTATAAGTGTACCCAAAACATTAAAGATTTTTCCATTCTGAAGTTAGAACTGAGCTCAGTCTTTCGTGGAGGATGAAAATTGTAGTAGGAAAAACAATGGCCTCTCAAAGATGTCCATGTCCTCATCCTCAGAACCTTCAGAATCTGTGACTCTGTTAGGTTATGACAAGGGGCAGGGGGATGAAGGCTGCTTATCTGCTGCCTGTGACATGGGGGATAATCCCTTTTTATCCAGATGTGTCCAATGTAATCACAAGGGTCCTTTAACGGTGGAGGAGGGAGACAGAAGAATGAATCAGAGAACAATCTCATGACAGAAACGAGGTCAGCAAGACGCTGGCCTTGAAGCCAGAGGGAGTTGGTCACAAGCCAAGGAATGTGAGCAGCCTCACAAAAGAGAAAAGGACAAGAAAACGAATTCTCCCTCAGATCCAGAGAGACAAGCAAGCTCTCAACCTCTGATTTTTGCCCTGAGACCTGTGTCAGGCTTTTGACCTACAGAACTAGAAGATAATAAATTTGTGTTGCTTTATGCCATCAAGTTTGTGTTAATTTGTTGTGCCAACTGCAGAAAACTAATACTGAAGATAAAATAGACTTTGTGCCTATGGTCAAACAGGCAAAAAGATCAGTTCCTCCCTTGCTCCATAGTTATAAGAAACTGGAAGAAAAACAAAATTTATCCATGATTCTGCTACAAAAGAGAAGGAAATGATGACTGATAGTCCCAATAACTAAAATGGGAATAAGTGATTCCTGCAGTATTAACACACCTATGCAGAATAAGAAAGGAAAAGGCAGTGTCAAGCCATAATGAAGGGAATGAGAGTAACTGTAACAGTTATCATTTACTGAATATTTGCACTATCTCATTTAATTGCTCATAAATACCCTACAAGGTATACAGACAAATTCCCATGATACAAAATCACAAAACTTAAGCACCACAGAAAGCTAAGTAGTTTATCTATCAGAAAACAGCCATTAACTGGCAGAACCAGGACTCCAACCCAGGATTACCTGACCAAAAGCCACGCATTCTCAGTGCATTCCTGTGTTTGGGTTTGCACATTCAAAGCATCAAGTTAGCATACAACATAGAAAGCATGTTAAGCCCTATCATCTATCATGTATTACTTACACCAATATAACATCTAAAATTCTATCTTCAAATCCAGGAAATGATGAGAACTATTCTCACGGCTGCCTCACCTTTATATAAGTGAGATTGATGCTACTGATAATGTGGTATTGATATCTGGTATCACCAGAAGATAATCTCCAAAGGATAATATAGCAGTTTATAAATAAGGTAAATAATGTATACAAAATCAGCTAACTTAGGGTCTTAACACTTGGTTTTTTTTTCTAGCACATATTAAGTACCAATATGAGATCAGTGATAACCCAGTACTTAACCACCAAGCCTGGCATTGAAGAGGTCCTCAGTATATGTCGGGAAATGAATGCAAATTAACGTGATCATACAGACAAAAGCTTTTTCTAGTTGTAGACGGAATTGCAAACTGTCTTTATCATTACCTCCTGGAACAGACTGCAAACTGACTGCTCCACAAGCCATCCTCCCCTTTCCTTAACACCAACATAGTCCTACTATGTAATGTAAACTGAAAGGCGTCCAGCTAAAAACATTCCCAGCCTCCTTGACCACATAGGCAGCCATGAGACCTAGTATGGCCAGCAAAATGTAAACCCAGTTGTTGGGTGGGGCCTCCTGGAAAGCTTCTTAGAAAATGGGCGGCCTCATCTGACACCTATTTTCTACTCTTTGCCCTTTCCCTGCCTCCTGTTAAAATCCAGTGATGCTACCAAAGGCAAAGCAACAGCTATGTGACCACACAGCAAAGAGCACACCCTATGAAGCCTGCGTCCCTCATGACTGCTGTGAAGCTGCTGTTCCCAAAATGTCCACCTCCACAGCCATCAGGAGAAAGCCCACACTTTTATTTTTGGAAGATATATTGGTTGAAATTGCACTGTCACTCATCTGTTTACTATTAGACCCCAAAACAGGTGGGAAGTGAGGTGAAAATGGTGACTACAGCAGGCTGAATAATAGCCACCCGAAGATGCCAAACCCAACAACCTATAAATGTTAACTTACTTGGGAAAAGGGTTTTTGTGACCAATTAAGGATTCTGCAGTAGGGTGATTATTCTGGACTATACAGGTGGATGACTAAATGTCACAGAAATGTCCTAAGAGAGAGGCAGAGGGAGACTGTCCACACAGAAGAGAAGGTAATGGGACCAGGGCAGCAGAGACTGGAGTGATGGGGCCACAAATCAAGGAATACCGGCAGCCACGGGAAGGTGGAAGAGGCAAGGAAGAGTCTCTCCTAGAACATCCAGGAGGCACAAGGCAGCCGCAGTGATTTCAGACTCCTGGCCTCCAGAACTATGAAAGAATAAATTTTCATTGTTGAAACCACTACCCAGATTGTGCTAATCTGTTACAGCAGCAACAGGAAGCAAATACAGTAACTAAGGTCAGGGCGTCCCAGGAGAGGAATCCAATTACTGCCTTGAAACAGGGTGGAAGGCTAATTATTAGTCTTTCTGAAGCTTTTCTTGCTTACATGCACCTATTTATAGTCGATTCTAATAATTCAGTCTTTTTTAAATGGGAGGGCAAATAAATGTGACTTATTTTGAGAAACATAACTCCAGTCAGCAATTTCAACCTCTTCCTTTCCTTTCTGAACTATTCTTCATCATAAACATTAGACTGTTAAGTATGAAATGTCTAATTTCCTCAAGAACTGAGTTTGGCAGTTGGTATCCCTAACATTTCATTTGACACTTATTTTGATTGTGAAGTTACATCCTCATTCATTAAACGCACATTTTGGCTTATAAGTATCTTTTTAAAAAAATTAGAACAATTTTTGTGAAACTATGGAAAAGTCAAAAATTTGTATTATGGCCGAGCTTGGTGGCTCACACCTGTAATCCCAACACTCTGGGAGGCTGAGGCAGGTGGATCGCGTGAGCTCATGAGACCAGACTGAGCAAGAATGAAACTGTCTCTAAAAAAAAAAAAAAAAAAAAAGCTGGGCATTTGGTGGGCACTTGTACTCCCAGCTACTTGGGAGGCTGAGGCAAGAGTTTGAGGTTGCTGTGAGCTATGACGTCAAAGCACTCTACTGGGAGCAAGAAAGTGAGATTCTGTTCAAAATGTAAGGTAAAGAGAGGTTCAAAATCAAGGAGAAAGGGTTATAATTATATTTACATTCCATTACATTAAAACTTTAATATAAAGGGAAGGCCAGTGGTTGCTCTACAAGTATTTCTGCATATATTATGGCTATCTAAGAGGGCTTGATATTCATCCTTCTATCACAATCACTTTCCTTATTTATGTCAAAAGATTCACCTTACCAAGGTCCTCTGGCTACATATATAACCAGGGTCTCTATAAAGGCAGCAGTATCATTCTCACATATTTCTTCTACAACTCCATTTATGTTTGACTTCAATTTCACTGCAGCATTATCACTTATTTCTCTCCTTGACTTCCATCTTTGTTCATCAATTCTTTCTGTAAACTGTCTCATGGGTTTATCACTGGGAAACAAGAAAGTAACACAACTGTACACTG